TGTTCCACTGCATACATTTTTGCTCTTTTCATTGTATACCTTCATGTTCCATTGTGCATTAGAATATTTTCTTAAGATAGTGCTGAAGTGTGGAACTGCACTGTATAGATATTATGGTCCTGCCTTCATGGAATTAGCAGATTGTGTTCAAGTGGAGCAGATGTTGATTAGCTCTGGGCTCCGATTTACTTCGTGCTTCATTTTTACTATGGCCTTTACATTGCCTAAAAGCAGTTCTCTGCGTGTCTCTATTTATAGTTGAATGCCACTGAGCAGCACCACTGATAAATAAAACTGAAATGCCAATAGGTTCTTTTTCCAAATGGCGTTTCAAGGAGCAGTCCACGCTTGCTTTAAAATTAGAGTTACCATGCTGCTGTTTCGCTTGAAGATCAAATTAAACATGGGCAGCTCTGATCTGTGGCTGTACCCCAGCTCTGTCCTTGTGCATGCACTTTTTCCCACCTGCTGCCCGGTTGTTCCTTGCCTGTCTGCTGGCTGCCTGGAGGCAGTGATGCTTGGAGTGTTCCTGCAGGGACGTTCTTAAGGCTGTCTTCCAGGGCAAGAATGAAACCCTGTCAGCTAGTTGTCAACTGTTTGTCCTTTTTGGTTAGTAGAAGGTCTGTTTGTTGTTAGTATCTAAATGCCCCAAAACAAAGCTAAGTGGTTTTCTTTATTTTGTGCTGTTATTTTAAAGCAGGGGAGTACCATGTAATTATCACACATACATATTTTGTAAAGAATGCTATGATTAGTTACTGATAGAGATATTCTGTTCCCAGCTGGGAATATGTAGAATTGCTTCTGTGGAGTTAGGAATGACTTTATATGTGTACAGACCCATCTGTACACTGAGTCTATAGAAAGCTGTGTGGTTCCAGGAAAGCACTGACAGAAAGGAAGCTTATGTTAGGATATAGGGGTTATTAATCAGACTTGCAGGTTACTTGATAGCTGTGAAGCATAATAGCATGAGGCATAATGGGTCTGACACTAACCAGCAGGATATTACCATGAAATAGTTAGCAGGGGTTGGGGACCACCAGTAAGCTCATTGTAATGCACTGCGCACGGCAGCAACATCTGCACTCATCGCACCGTAGTGCAGAACAAAAGGTTTCCACATAACCTTTTTACTAAAGCCAGGTAGGTGTAGGTTGCACTTCACTGACTGTTTTTCACTGGTGCTACACATGAAGTGTTGCAGTGGATCGCACAGGCTGATATTCTTGGAACATGGGATTGCTTCTTCACAGATCAGTGCACCTTTCATGTCCTTAATTATCTTAAGCCAAAATATATGGTGGTGTATGAATATAAGAGAGAGGAAAAATGACTGTTCAGTAAGTTAAGGTCAAGCAAATTGCACAGCACGTTTTATCTCTCTCATTAGCTGAGAGCTAGGGAGTGTTGGCAGTTTCCGTAAGACACATCTAAGTCCATGTCTTTTTGGGACTTTTCTGGCATTAGATTAAACATTCTCTAGGCAAGGATGAGAAAAATCTCTTCTTAAGAAAGGAACTAATAAATAATTTAACAGTAATTCCCGTTCCTTCCACTCCATAAGGCAATTGCTTAATTGGATAGTTGTTTGTGTGCTTGAGAAGGGTAACGGCCAGCCTTTCTCACTGTAGGAAGTTGGTGTGAGATATGGAAAGGGGATTGGGTTGGGGCTCAGAATGTGTAGGGGTGCTTCCCAGGCAGTTCCCTGTCCCAGGGTGCAGGAGGATTTCAGTTCCAGCACTCCTTGGCTTTGGGCATTGGAGCTGGGGCTGCGGGGGGAAAGCCAGGCCCACAGATAAATACAGCAACCAGGTAACGTGTTTGTCTGCAGCTGAAGGATTAACAGATTACATCAGGCTACTATGAAGACAGATTTTTCTTTGCACTGTTATGCTCGGAATTGAGAGCTGGGTACAAAGTATTTCTTGTGCTTAGTGCTGTGATATGATCTCTGAATTAGGATAGTGATGTGAAGCTAAATCCCAGGCACTGTGTCTTGTTGCTCATTGTGAGGTGTCGTTTATTAACTGTGGCATTTCTGAAGCATGCTAAGTGTGGTAGAAGGCATTGTTTCCCTTTTTCCAATTAGTTCCTACATTTGTATGAACGTTTATCAGCAAATGTTTAAATGTCTTAAAGCTGGCATTTTCAGTGGGCTTGCCAAGAGACAAATCTCTATTCCTTGGAGGCAGCGCAAATCAAATTAGCACAGACTGAGTTCTTTTTTCTAACTGTGGGAGTTCTGTCAAATCTATTTAATACTGAGATAGAGCTGACCCACTTGTTTGGCAAGTGGTACTGACCAGAAAACAGCACGAGTTCGGGTGTTTAAACATATGAACTTTGGTTTTGTGAAATAGTTAACCAGCACTTCCTTTTGTAATAATTTGTTCAGTATGTATTACTGTGATGTTTAAAAAAAAATTCCTCCTTATTTGAGTCTTGAATGTTCTTGAGGACTTGTGCGTTAAGATCTTTGATAGAGGAAAAGATCCTCAAAACTGAGGTATTGTCAATGTTAAAATAATGTTGTTAATAACTCAGTGCTGTTAAATATGCCGATACATTTGCGCACTGAATGTATGTGAGGGAATTGAAAGAGCTAATATGAAAAGTGAGTTGGTCCAGGGATGGATGTCAGGTTTGGAAAGGAATGGATCAGTCAGGGGCACTGTATTACCAATGCATGCATGCACAGTCTGAGCTCTGAGAACCAAAGCATCATGTTGCTTTTATCTAGGTTGTTGTTGCTGCTCTGCTGCAGGATGCTTTGGTGCAGCCAGCTCCATCAGTGCAACAGTGAAATATGGCTGGGGGAGCAGGAAAGCTCTTGTTTTTCTTGAAGGATTCTGCAGTCTGTTGTTTCAATCAAAATCTGCTAGAGAAGTAGGTTTTAGCACGGCTGTAACTGAAGGAAATGGGAGGAAGTCATATTCTTGCATGATAGTATCTTTGAATGTGCTAATTGCTGGAGGAGGGATGTAGAGATTCTCTGTATTTTTATCTATTTTGATTTACTAGTGGAAAATGGGAACACACAAATAAAAACATTGGTAGGACTAGAAGATGTCAGAAGTTTAAACATGGTAAACTTTTCAAAGAAATTTCCATTTCTTTTTACTGCATCGAGCTGTTAATGGTAGGTTCCTTTCTCAAGTGACTTGATTGCTTGATGACTGCTAAAATACCATTTTGTTCCAGGTAAACGAAATGCATCCCTGCTGGCATGAGCATCAGTTCTATGCTAGTGATTTTATTTTTTAATACTGTTCAACAAAACGGTTTCTGGCAACAGGATCAGAATGTTGGGCGCAGCCTATTTTCCCTGTTTAGTGGCTGAGGGCAAACTGCCTGTCTTCCAAGTTCCAGGAACACCTGGAATGATGCTAGGAGTGTGTAGCTGGACCAGTGTTGAAGGATCTGCTGAGTCGTCGTAATTTGGTTACTTATCACAAATGTATCTAATCGTTAGAGGTTTTAAAAATCATTTCTCAACAACAGATTAAAAGCAATTGTAATTGAGAAAAGCTGTGAATAAGAGATGACAGCAACATTCTAAGTTCATTGTTTTTTAATTCTATAAATATGTTTTGAGTACTATTTTACCTTTGCTTTAAGTAGATACTAATTTGCTGGATGTGGATTACTCTGTAATGTCTTAGAGGATCAGACTGGCAAAGCTCTGAGGTTTTTTGCTACATGTGATAAGTAGTAGTAAACTGAGTAATAAGGTATAGCTTTCTGTACATGAATATATAGTGTGCTCTGTGCATACAGTAGACATTAGCCAATACTTACTTCACAGAGACCTCACTTATGTGTTTTCCTTGCATACTGCACTATAGGTAGCAGTTGGCTTCCCAAGGCCTTTTGATTTAAATCAAGGTCAGTGGTAGTAATCTTGCAGTGCAGTGTCAATCTTGATTATAGGGGAGATAACATAGTGAAATTGAGTCTATTTTTGTGCTGAGAAATTTCAAGGAAACCCTCGTTGACAAATGACTTAAACATAAATGCATATTGATAACTAATGCATTTAATAACCCTTGCATAGCAGGAGTGCAGTGGTGTTGAATAGTAGTAATTCTGTGCTCAGAATGTTGGGAAATTGATGTTGCAACCTGTCTTAACAGTGGTCCATAGGTACTTCATGCTGAGAACTGTATTTCATCCTGGAAGTAATAAGAATTCCTTTTTTCTGGTTCGCATTTATGTACTTGCTCTCTGTGGAGAGATTCCCTGGTAACTTAGTTACAGTCGAGGTGGCAGATTAAATTGAATGTAATTCAAGTGCACTTAATGTTTTCAGTATATTACTCAACCATTATGATCCTCATCTCTGCAAGACACCTGGTATCCCTAAGGAATGAGTAATTAGCAATAGGCAAATGGTATTTAGAAAGTGTGATAGTGAAAGGTGAAAACCAGACCAGAAGGGTAAATCTGATGAGAGATATTAGACAGTCTAAATCTGAATTTGATTACTGTTTAAGAGCTTCATACATGTAACAAAAATTGTTGGCCCGCCGTTTGTAGATTTTAATTTCTGTTCCTAAAAAAAAAATGTAAGATGCAACTCTAAAAGCGAGGGCCAAGCTGAGGGTTACACTTGTCTAACAAGACCAGCTACAACTGTCAGTGTGATATGGCAGAGTACTTGCAGGGCACACTGAGTCTCACATCGTCACATGTGCATTGTTTAAGCTTCAGTGAGAGCAGGAAGAATTACTTCTTAATTTGGGAAGGTGTCTGTTGTTGTTTTTGTTAGTAAATGATTGTCATTTTTTACTTCTGGCATCTCCATTACCAAGGTTTTTTGCTTCCTTTTGGTACAACTCTTCCTCCCTTTTGCAGTAATTTAGCTATGGTGGGACAGGAATGGACCACAGATGAAATGGACTGCATAAGCACATAAAGCATGAGCTATAGGACACAGTAAAGTGGTTAAGTTATAGTCCTCAGCTACATTGTGATCTCCTTTTTTCTTCTCTTAATAGGGTCGGTGTTTATGCTGAAGGTTCAAGTAAATGACATCATCAGTCATCAGTACCTGGCACAAGCAGCAGTGGAAGTGTTTGTTAACTACACCAAGACAAATTCTACTCTCACTGGAAACAACGGAGCAGTATTAATAAAAGTTCCTTACAAGTTAGGATTAAGCTTAACTATCGTATCATACAAAGATGGCTACATGTTAACACCTTTGCCTTGGAAAACTGGGAGAATGCCAAGTATGTAAGCCTCTTACTGTCCTATTATTAAACTGTATCTATTGGTAATTACAGTACCTCTTCTCAGCAGTCCATGTAGCTACTGTCAAGTGAAAATGACTGCAGTCAGTTGAGGGAGGCGGTGCCTGTCAGTGCAGATGTAAGGGTGAAGGACCTGTTAGATCTGTCACAAATTCTTATTACTGTGCAAGTGAGGAGAGCCCTTGTTAACTCTGAGTAGGTTGTACTGCAACACTGTGAGTGTACTCTGAGAAATTATTCACTTAAACATAGCAAAGGGCTTTTAATGCATTTTTGATAAAAATCATATTTTATCTAGTGATTCAGTGTGTCAGTGCTTTGAGTGTAGTATAACAGGTACAGCCTTTTGTTACACTTTCTTTTCAGCAGTACTTCCTCCCAAGTTTTTCTCTTATTAAATGAGCAAGAAAAAAATCATTATTTAAAAAACAAATCAATCAGAGGATGCTTCTAAGAACTCTAGCGACTTGTATTCTATAGAAAACATATAACAGTACCAAACACAGCCATATAGAACTTTGTCTAACCAACGTAATTCCTCTTCTGGCCACCAGGAGTCATTGATTTCTCTAGTCTTCATATGCTCCTTTTCAGCTGCCCTATTCTTTTGGAATCGGAGAGCTCATTAAATGGTGATTTTTTCAGTTGCATAGTATAACAGATGTTATCACTTTCCACAGTATACTCGTCTGTGACGCTCTCGTTGTTCCCACAAAGTCAAGCTAATATATGGCTGTTTGAAGATAGTGTTCTGATCACTGGAAAATTGTCTGGTAAGTTCGTTGTGTACTGCAGGCTAAGCAATTCATGATACTTAGAAAAAAGAATGGCCGAGTTCATGCTCTCTGTAAATGTTCATTTATCAACACTTGCTGATCTTCTAGGGACATGGAAGCCACTTAAGCCAGGGCTACCTGAGCACTGCTTTTCACAAGAGCTGGATATTACCTATACCAAGGCTAGAATTTTGGTTGATTGTTTAACCATTTGTGACAGATGTGAGACTAGGAACTTAAAAGCCTTGAAAAAAGACTGTTCTGCTGACTGGATTTCTGAGCAATATTAAAAAAAAGTTTTGTTTTTTTTTTTACCATTGCTAAAACAAAATATTAATCTTTTACAGATGCCAAATCTCAACCAAGTGTTCAGTTTCAAAAATCTTTAATAAAGCTTCCAACAGATCACCATATTACAAATGTTACAGCTTATTTGACAGTGCCAGAGCAATTCTTGAAAGTGGACAGTTTTCTTTATACGACTGGAATTCTTCTAAACAAATCAGGTATACTAGATGTATTATTTACATTTTTAAAGAGATTTTAAAAACGTGATGTTTTTGAGCACAAACTGTTTCATTAAAAATATGCTGAAATTAAAAGTGCCTGAACCAGTTTCCATTGCATTAAATTGGTTTACTCTTCTTGCTATGGAGAAAAGCTGTGAACACAGCTGATAAGTAAAGTTGCTCTTTGATTTGTTCCATGTATGTTTAGTGTAGCGAGTCAGAACTCGTAACGGTGAATTTTTCCTTGAGTCTGCTTTACAGATGTGTATAGATAGTTCTACTTAGTGCTGAAGCACAGTTACAGGATTCTGATGCGCAGTAAGTAACCTTTTAAATGACTTTCAATTGAAGATATTTGAGATATCGTGAGGCTGGAGAGCTAGTCAAATTAATGCCTTAAAATGCAGTTCTGGACAGTGTGAGTTATGGGAATCTGAAGCAGTCAGTGGGATTAATTTTAGCAATGGGCTTTTGTGTTTTTTCACTAGAATTCTGTCACCTGGTTGCTAGAGCTTTACACTTAGCGTAAAGGTCTTGTGCAGAGTATAATTTGGCTCACTGTAAACCTGTGTAAGTCTGTTTGAGACCAAGTAGTCTGTATATATACAGAGCACAGTTGTAGTGATGTTTTCTGTTCGGCTTCACAGGAGTAGCAATGAGTGTTTTCAGTAGTCATTCAATCCAACTGAGTATTGGCATAGTTAGTTTAGGATTTGCCATTGTATCTAGATTTATTTTTTAATTATAGTTATCTCTGGCAGATCATACAGTTCTGTCTGTTTTGTTCTTTTATTTCCATTCCCAGGGAGCTTGAAGCCTTGTGGCTCTGAATTTGATTACAGCGCATGCAGTGGCTACTAGTTGATTTATTTCAACTAACTGTTCTTTAATTGTCATTGAATATCATCACATCTAATTGATGTGTTGACTGATGTATTTCATAACTGTTCTCATCTGTATCGCACCTTGTTAAATTTCAAGCATAAGAGAATAAGCAGCATTTCTGCTCTTCAGTTTTTCTTTCAATCTGTCTGGCATGTGTATTAAATTATTCATGTACTCCTGTAGGAATAAGCTTCCTTTTAGGGAAGGTGGAAGCTAATTGATATCTGATGCACCAGGAGTTTTGTCGCAGCGAGCTTCTAACAGCCTGCGCAGATTTAATATTATTCCAGTACTTATTAATTCTGTTTCAGTTTTTTTTTTTTTCCAGTAGCCTGTAATATCGTGGACTCTGAAGTATTTGCAAATTAGTGTGAAGGAAAACAAAGGAAACAAAATGACAAGCTGCACTGTAAATTTTTGGTTATGGAGTTTCTTTTGAATACTTTGACATGTTTCAAGCTTGAACTACTCAGTTAATTTTAACTGCCAAATTAGCATATTAATTGGTACAGGAAAGTTTATTAAGAGGGTTTGACTAAAAGGAGAATTGTGGTGGTTGTATATTTGCCATGTGTCTTCAGTTGGTTTCAAAGTTGTGTATATTGCATGATGAAAAAAAGTTAATCTGTTGGCTGACTCTTTGGGAATCAAATTATATGATAAAGAAGGGTTTCTCCATCTCCAAGCCATCTTTGGCATAGTCATTGATTCTACAGCCAGTGATGAATCTGTATGTTAGAAGTGTTTCTCTTTCACAGATGTGATATACAAATGACTGTTTTGGGCTTAGAACACAAGATTTACAAGTCTAGAAGTGTTCATTTCATTTGATCAAGTTAGTGATGTGTAACCGTGCATCTGAATGCAGATGAGGGCTTGACTTTGTTCCCAGGGATATATAATTAATTCTAATTATGTTTTCTGAAAAGCGTACTGTGAGTGGAGGATTACAGACAAAGTATTTCTCTAATTCAGGTTTCAAAAGCATTGAATTGACTCCTCTTGCTGCAATATGTGCAAACGTTCTCTTGGCTGGGAAAGAACTGAAAGTAAATGGTCCTATTCAGATTACACTTCCTCTTCCTACAAGTACTGTAAAATCAGGAGATGCTATACCTGCATGGACATTTGATATGAAAACTGGTAAGTAGGCTGATTTGTTATTCAACGTTTTAACACATTCTTACAGTTCTGAGTATATGCCATTTTATCATAAAATATTAATAGCGCTGATAAGTTGTTGTTAAATAGTCATCAGTTTGGCTGGAGATCCCGTGCTGGTTTTTGGATGACTGGCCTAAATTGTTCAAAGCCATTTCACTGCTTTCACTAGTCTTAAAAGTGCTGCTAAAACTCATCAGCATTCCTATTCAACACGTTTGATTTAACAAATGATTATTTTCATGGGCGGGCTAATAATTCATATTTCATATGGTGTTGGACATGAAAACCTAACAATTCTGTGAATGTCTTTCTAAAGGAAAGTGAATCAGAATTGAGAATTTAAGTCATTTGTTTTCTAAAGTATAGCTCTAAAAATCCGTTGATATTGAAGCTGGAATAGATGTTACTTAAGTCAATAAAAACAGTTATGAAAGTGAAATGGAGGCTACATAAGAGTTATTCATGGTAATACTATAGTTCTTTAAGTATGCAAGGGAGGCTGGGGATAAGACATGCTAATAAACCTTCTGTCATCACTCCATGTCTAATTTTAGTCAAGAGTAATGAGCTGTGTACACTTAGCCATTTAAATGTCCCATGTTTGGTGTGTGTGCATTGGTGTACTCACAGTCTTTGCTTGTTCCTTACACCTTTCACCATAGCTCATCTTAAAACATGCAAGTGAACAAAGATGTGAGTCTTTCCTCGCTGCTAAAGCAAATAACTGTTGTAGTTGAAAGTAGAGGAGAGGATGCTAACTCTGAAGATTTATTGTTTACACATTTGAGAGAGAAATTAATCATATTGATAACAACCAAAGAGCATAATTGATTAAAACTAAGAGTGTGCTAATTAAAAATTGGCATATAGAAAAATTTCTGAAGTCAATTTTAAATCTGTCTGTGCACCTAGGAGGCTTTCAGAAAGGAAAGTGGTAAAAGGTAGCATTCTTCATCAAAGTAAGTCTTGATCTGTGATGGCAAAATAGCCTAAGGGGATTTAATTTCTTGTTGCCATAGCCATCTTTGTCATCTCCTGTGCTCATCTCTACCTATGCTGAGCTGTTTTGACTTAGTAAACGAACAAAACTAGGTCAGCAGTGCTGTAAAAACAAAGAACTGACAGAAGTAGAGCAGATCAGCATAAGGGCAAATTAGAAAGAAATCAGTGTAAGGTGCATACCTGGGTGCCGAGGAGCCTACCCAACGTGCCTGATGAGGTGTGTCGGTCTTGAGACAAGAACAAGAACATGATGTACTAACTTAACAACTGCAGCAACAAAGGAATAGTTGATTTTTCACCTTTGGGGTTGTTCACTATTAGAGGTTCTGTAAAGGTAAATTGTTGGCAATGATCCCTCACTGAAGTGCAGTACTGAGGTGGAGCCTGGAGTTTGGTGAGGGAAGAATAAAGAGAATTGAGAACAAGGAGAGAGAACTGACAGGTATAGCTTTAACTTGCATTTTTCATTCTTCAGCTTTTGAAGTGCTCCCCTGGGTGGCTCAGTGTACTGGTACAGACACTTAATGAAGTTAAGTGGTTGTTATTGTGGCTGCTGTAAATACACAGTCTGTTCACATATGTTGAGTGTGGCCTCATTGTAGCTAAACACATTGCTTTATTACAACAGGTAGAGGAGTCATAGAATCCTTAGAGTTGGAAGGGACCTCTAAGATCCATCTACTCTGACTCCCTTGCAATGAACAGGGACACCACAGCTAGTTCAGATTGTATTCAGAATATGCACTTGGAAAAAATATTTTTTTCTTAGTATTTACTTTTTTCTATGGAGTATATTGTAGGCAAGATAAAACTTGAGTAGTCAAAAGAGATTATACTGCTTCTCATAGATATCTTAATTCGAAGCAGAACTTTTGGAGACGTAGGATCTTTTAAATGTGATGGTGTGTTATTAATTTATTTTTTAAAAGCCTGTAAGTAGCTCACCCTCTGTACTTAGAAAACTGTTGTTTTGCAGCATAGGGACATCTGACCTTAGAGCTGACAAGAAATAGGATTCAAGGTTCTGTTGTTGCCTCCATGTGGGAATTAGGGATGGAAGACACTTAGACTCCTGAGTCTGGACAAGAGGTTCTCGATGTAACTGAGAAACCATCTCCTTCAGGGTTCTAGGCTGTTGCTGTTGCTGTTCCCTCTCTGCCAGCCATTATAAGTACCAAAAGAAGACTGCAAATTTTAGTGCCAAATGGTTTGGAGAGGTGAAGGAGGTTGCAGACACGTGTGGCATGGGTCAACTCTCATCTCTACCTTCGCTCTGATAATATGTCTTGGGTTTTCTGGAAGAAAGGTCCTGGATATCAGTTTATGTGGCTTTATATAAATCACACTTTTTTTGTAGTTTGGTTCTTAGTTTCTGTTTTTCTCCGTGTGTTAACGTTTTTCTTTCTTGGTATTTGCAGTTTGAAAATGTAAGATTGTTTATATGAGACAGCTTTCGTTTTTCAGGATTGCACAGATGGTATACAGCTAATGTATTCAAATAATGCACTGTTTAATTCCATCTCTTCTACTGCATGCTTTATTAGTTGTAGAAGTTGGCATACCATAAAACTTGTCCTCTGCATTGCCTACCAGATGGTGTGGAGTCTGTGGCCTAACAATAGACCTTCCTTGGTCTAATTCAGTTGTTACTGTATTAGAGGAGGAAAGGAATGTTCGTGACAAGCATTGTTTATCCTATTGTAGCTTATTAGCTTATGTTGCTTTCCCACTGATTGGTGTAAGCTGATGGAAAATTTCTATTCACATCCTTAAATTACCTGCTCCTTGATTTTTAAGTTTCTTACCTAAAATAAGGTCCTTTTTTTTTTTTCTTTTTTTTTTTCTCTCCAAATAATTGGCAGGAATATCTATTTAAGATACTTGTTATTAAGAAATGAATGATGTGAAAATAATTCAAGTAATTGCTTATGATGATACTTTATTTCTAAGTCAATGTATGTAAGGATATTTGTGTTGTAATTGTCGAAAGAAAACTTGCATTTTTAGCTAAAACTGTAATGCATAGCGTACAGGACAGAAGTTTAATTTTTCTTGAGTTTTTGATAATAATTTATTTGATAGTGGTTTTAGATAGAAAGGAATGTGGCATGGCATTTTTGCAATATCTTATCTTTTTCAGGTGCTTGGGTAAGCCGTGGCCTAGGAATGGTGAAGGAAGCAAACGATCAATTAGTATGGACATACACTGCTCAACACTTAGGCTACTGGATTGCAGCTCCACTGCCTGGAACAAGAGGTATTGCACGTTCAAATAGTGAATAATTCAAGTACGAAGTTGTCATCAGGCTGTTACTTTGATTGTTTTGAATAACAAAAGAAAGGGAAAATGACATGGAATTTCAGCACTGATAACCTCTGCTTGTTTGAATTCTGATAATGTGTGCCTTTCTGCATGTGATTGTTTCCTAGAACTTGCAGCACAGCCTGTATTTCCCTCCAGCAGTGCTAAAAGTTATATGTTTATATTATTGCCATCTTCTGGAAGAACCTTGCAAGGAAACTGCAACTGTGGAGATGTAAAATGATCAATAGCGTGTCCCTTACAGCTGAGGATAGTGTAAAACAGGAAGAAATGCAATGAGGTTAGGCTTAGGTGTGTGGCCTCAGTGGATCCTTTTTTATGTATACATGTTGCATACTTGGATTTTGCAGATTCAAAATGAGGGATTTTCCCAGGAGAAATGTGATGTGAAATTGTAAATATTATAAAAGCACTTCTTAATAGAAACACTGAACAGAATATATAGGTGATGTTTCTAAGTCAATTTGGACACCTCAGACAAATGTCATTTGGCTGGAATAGATTAGGTTCATGGTATTCCTTTAGTATCTAAGATGAACCCTTAGAAATCGGTTATACTGCACATTTTCTAGACTGCTAAAATAGCAAAGTGAGAAGGGACAGATGAATATAGTACCATAGGAACACAAAATTATGGGAGGAGTACAGCTTGTTGTATTGCTACAGCTCTGCATATCAATAACCATTACTTGATTTTTAAATCTAATTCTTGTCTGCTTTTGTGTTTGAAAATCTAGAATCGATCATTAGTGCAGTTTCCAAGGACATAACAGCCTATCACACAGTGTTCCTTACAGCCATACTGGGAGGCACTGTTATCATTATAATTGGATTTTTTGCTGTTCTTCTTTGTTACTGCAGGTAAGCAAAAAGAGGGGCTGTAATGAGCTCAGCATTAATGTAATTTAAGATTGAGAAACTTGGACTTGGCAGGTTTCTTAACACTACTGAAAAGATATTAAGATATAAAACAAACAGAATGTTTTCAAGTCTTAATACGCCCAACTCCAACATGTAGCCAAACATTTCTTTAATTTTGGTGCTTACAGAAATTCATTTTAAGTTTTTTGACAACATATTATACTAGTAACTTAAACAGCTTCTGATATTCAGATATGGAATTGAACAGTTGTTGTATTTCCTAGCATACTCTGCAGTCACTCTTCATTTCTTTTGCTTAGGGACAAATGCGGTCAGACACAAAAGAAGGAAAAAAATACAACAAAGCTGGATGTCATAAAAAAAGACCAGACCACATCAACAACTCACATAAATCACATCAATGCTGTCAAGGGGTCTTTAAAGTTAGAGGATAAGTCACAGCTGTATACGCCGAAGATGTCTTCATACAGCCCTCAAAGAAGGATGTCCACGGACACAGAAGATGGAAAATCGCGAGACAATTTTAAAATCTACTCGGAAGATGCTTCTTATCAGTCATCCTATCAGACTGGTCAGTCAATAAATTCACCTCATTCCTTGGAGCCTGGTGCTGGACTCAGACACTTGCAGCCACCAAAACTTACTAACAGTGCTGCTTCCCAGGCTCCTAGGGACATTCAAGAGCAAAACAGGTATCTTACACTGCAAGAGGAAATATATGGGCTTTCCCATATCCCAGAACATCTAATGCATATTTACAACCAACCTATTGCTATTCTTCAAACTTCTGATCTTTTCCATTCCCCAGAACAACTGCACGCTGCTAAATCAGCAACTCTGCCAAGGAAAGGACAGTTAGTGTATAGCCCCATGATGGAGCCTGTGAATCGAGATGGTTACATACAAACACTACCTAAAATGCCAGTGCACTCTCATCCACAGCCTTCTGTCTGCAGAGATGAGAAAAGCACCTTGGATGGTGAACAAGGCTTGCCTTCTCAAACGTCAAACTGGGGTCGGTACACTAACAGCTTACTGGAATCTGTCTCTGTCCCCGGAACGTTGAATGAAGCAGTTGTAATGACTCCGTTTTCCTCTGAGCTTCAAGGCATTTCAGAACAAACGCTACTGGAGCTCTCTAAGGGAAAGCCATCTCCGCATCCTCGAGCATGGTTTGTGTCCCTGGACGGGAAGCCGATAGCTCAAGTGAGGCATTCTTTTATAGATCTGAAAAAGGGCAGAAAAACAGAGAGTAACGATACCAGTCTGGACTCCGGTGTGGACATGAATGAGCATCATCCTGGTAGGAAACTGGAGCGAGAGAAAACCTTCATTAAAAATATGCCGCATTCAAAGATCCTTTACTTGGAAGATCTGGATCTGAGTAGCAGTGAAAGTGGGACCACTGTGTGTACTCCAGAGGACCAGGCTGTGAGGCACATTCTGGATGGAGGGAATGGGCCAGCCATAGAACAGCATGATGAAGAGGGTCTAAGAAGAAAAACTGTGTCAGGAAGTCAGGAAACCGGTATCCCTTCCCCTAAAAAAAGGGATAGGCCATCTCTCACAAAAAGAGATAGCAAGACTAATATCTGGAAGAAAAGAGAGGAGAGGCCACTTATTCCTATAAATTAAAACACAATGTGCTTTGTGTTGTTGCTCTCCCTGCTGGTTGGTGACTTCTTGGCTGCTTGTGTAATTCTGCAGTGTAGGGTTTACAAGGGAAATATTGTTTTCTAGTATCAAGAAAAATTAACATTTTTTAATGTACAGATTGAGTTACTTTAACTTCAACTGGGCAATTGATATTCAATGGGAATTAATTGATAACAGGGAAACACATGAAAAATATACAATTCCTAAAATTTTGCTGGCAGTGTAGAGAGGGTCCACATTTTAATTAGCCTGTCATTTTTTTTGACACAACTCTTAGAATGCACAGTGAGAAATGTAGGCACATCTTTTTTTTTTTTTAAATTTTTTGCTGAAGCAGTACTATAGTGGCTCAAGCCATTCCTCAGTCTTGTTCCTAATAAATGTGATTATCTGTACAGTATTTTATATGTGAATTTTTCTAGGGATTTGTCACTACCACTTTGTATAATGCTTCATCATTTAGTCCCTTGGCACCAGAAGAAGAGCTCTGTTGGATTTCTCAGAAAAGTTCTAAAGCATTTCTGTCCTCTCTGTGTCCATCGGTGTGCAACAGGTAACTGTTTTGTACAACAGTGGCAGCAGGGGGATCTCTACATGCTGTGTGGTTGCTGGAGTTCATGATCTCTGCTGTCATAAGGTGTTGCCTATCTTTTTTAGTCTGCTTTGTTCTGAACTGAGGATGTTGACGACTGGCATCAGCATCCACCTCCTACAGGAAAGGACTGGTTCTGGTCACTTTTAGAGCTGCTGTTACTGCTGATCTCAGTGGCTTCTTTAAGCTTTGTTGCTAGTTAAAATCTTCTCTTCTGCATACTGTTGAAAGAGTTGTGCTCCAAAACATCGTCTTGGATTCCTTCGGATTTATAAGTTAGACTTTGGACTGCGATGAAAAGTGTGCAGGTTTAGACAAGTTATGTTATAGTATGTAATAGTGCCCTTTGGTGGGAAAGCTGTTGCTTTTTATTTTATGATTTGGAGATGTATGTGCCTACATTTTGCTAATCCAAGCTACTTATGTCCTAGATTGTGCATCACAGTGGAGTTAAGCAGGCTTTAAAAATTGGATTTTTTTATAAGCATGAGAGCAGATTGCAAAATTTGGTCTGTAATGAGGTATAAATGCTACTTATGACTCAACTTAGAGTTAAGCTTACCAAAAGTCATGGATGCATGAAGTGTAACTAAGATATGTATAGGGGAAGGGAAAGGCCATCAAAATGTTCTTTATTTTTAATGTTCATCTTGTTGAAGTGATAGTTTCAACTTTGGCTAACAGAAAAATACACATACCCTTTGAACGTGCTTTGTATATAGAATGTCTTTCTGTGGCTTTTAAGATGCTTCCCTGATTAAATAAGTTCCAGCATCTTGGCCTTGGCAGTTTGACTACAAATCATCCTAAAAAACGTTATAAGTGTTTCCTGTAGTTTGTAGTAGTTTAGGTTCAACAGTGAGGTCCAAGCATGAAATGCATGCAGGTAAACTGTAGGGTGCACTTAGTTGACTGCCTGGCACTGCCATCCTCCTGCCTTTTTGCCACCGTTGTTGAAGCACGCCTTGATTTTCTTCCATGGCAGTGCTTCAGGAATTCTGTCTTCTGAGAAATCGGGGGGGAGGTTGGAAGTAAAGTATGATGGTGGTGTTTATTAACATCTATCTGACGTGTGCACTCAGAGTTGGGAAATAGCCTATGTGGCTGGGCTTGTGGGGGTGAATACTCAGGAAATTGTTCTGTGAACTGTGTCTCTTCTTTTGGAATTGTCAGTAGTCTGGTTGCTGTTTCTAGAAGAATATATAAGGTAATTGGGCTTGTACTAGCAGTCCATTAGTCCAAGTTTTTCTGATGTCTCTGATTCTCTTTGGCCAAAAGACGCTGATTTAATTATGCAGTTCATCTGTTTTAGGGATTAAGATGGCTTGCCATATTAGCATCCCTTTGGTACTTTTTCTTGTTAACTAATTTAACTTCTCTATATGAAATACAGTACCTATTTTCCTGTATTCAATCCACTGGTTTATTTATATGACTAATTTTATAGCCAAAAGTGATGAAAATTTCTTTTTTTCCTTTGTTTGCTTTATTACTTATCCATTATGTATTTTGAAGTGGATTTTCATAAGAACGCACAATTTATTGAAAGTTACTTTTACTTTAGAGGTTCAGTATTGCCCTGCTTAGAATTGCATCAGTTGTGATGAGTCCCTTTTCGAAAAGAGGCTTTCATATCTTCTGTTGAAAATAACAGTAAATACCTGATAGTGGATTTGTGTTGTCTAAATTGAGTATTGTTTTCCTACAGTAATTTAAATATGCAGCAGATTCTTTCTCTTGTTTAAAGAATATTTTAAATTGTAGGTACCAAGACTACGTCATTCCTTAAACTCACTTCTATCATGGGAAGGCAAAGGCTGTAGCAAATGGCTTTGTTCATGTCAGCTCAAGTGAATGAAATTTTGCGCTCCAGTGATCCTGTTCTGCATCAGAGTAGGTATCTGGTCACCAAAGAAAAAGGATGAGAAATTTTGAAAAGATCAGTTCAGGATTTCAAAAGAGCAGTTTCCAAAGATGCACTGAGTTTGAGCTGATTCTTGTCTGCTCTGTTGTGGATCACAAGCAAGGAGTGGAGTTATTTTCTGAACCTTCAGTCTAAATGGGCTTTTGGACGTCTGGATTAAGCCACAGTTTTGCTCTTGTAGGCCTCTTGAAAGGCTGTCCGTAAGTGCATCAGCTCCTAGGCAGCCAGGCAAGTTGGAGGGGAATATTATTAAGAATTTCTTGCTGCTGAGCTTCTCGGTAGTAGGAAGCAAAATGAATTTCTTTCTGAAAGTGTGCTTTATGTTCTCATGATTGGTAGAGATGACTTATCTGTGGATAAAGTACATGTCCTTAGTAGCCTTGCAATAGCTCTAGCTGTGGTGGGACATCTCTATCAACTTCTTTTGTGAATGAAGGGCCTCGGTTCTCTTTTGCCTAATGAGAATGTGAGCGTTTGTTTGTGCAGAGTATTTAAATTCTTATCTAGAGTGCACAAGCAGCAGTAAAGGTAACTCCATTTCCAAGACTGTCTTAAATTGTTGCTTCCGTCCATGCTTTGCTTGCTTTGTAAATCCCATATGCCAACTCTACTGTATGTGACTTGCTGGCATTTATCACGCTGTCATGTGCTGCTGGTAACACTGCAGAACACTTTTCTTTAGGTGTGTGTGGGAAGATAGTTGTATGAAAACAGATGATGCCCCTAAGCGCACAGTGAGAGGGAATTCTTCCCTGGCCCTAACTTGAGCATTAAAACTTGGATTTTTAAATTTGTATGCTATTCTAAAATAATTAAAACACTTGATATCTGTATGCAGTATTTACAGGCTATATCCTGTAAGTATAGTCATCATTTTCCATTCGTGTGTTGGAACTTGGTGCACTAGAAACCTATATTACCTCTTAGTGACTGGAATTCTTTATTTTACTCGTCTGTTCAAGAAAAGGAGTTTTGCTACGTTGAGTTCTAATATTTTAATTGCAGATACTGTATGCTATGTGTATGTAGACAAAATGTTACCGACATGTTGAGTTTCTTGCAGCTGGGTATATCTTTTCTATGTGTTAGCAGGTTTTGATGAGGTGGTTGATGGAGTGAGCTGAGGCCTTGCTTCTGCAGATGAATCCGTGTGGCTCAGATCAGTGCTTTCATGCACTGTAATCATTTTCAGGATCTAAAGGGGGACTACAAGAAGGGGATGGATTCTTAATGGGTCTGTTGTGGCAGGAAAGGGGGAGGTTATTTCAAAATAAAAGAGGGAGGACTGGACATAAGGAAGAAGTACTTTTACAGTAGGATTGGTGAGGGGCTGGAGGTTGTCCAGAGATGCAGTGGATGCCCTGTTGTTGGAGAAACTCGAGGTCAGGCTGGATGGGGCTCTGAGTACCGTGATGGAGCTGTAGATGTTCCTGTTCAGTACGGGGGAGTTGGACCAGATGACCTTCAGGAGTCCCTTCCAACTCAAACAATTTCATGATATTGTAGATGATCAGATTAAATAATACATAGCTGTATATACATTAGTATTGTGTATGGTAACCAGAATACAAATGAGCTAATAAACAGTAATTTTCTGGTGGTTATAATAAGTCAGGTACTGCAGGAATTTAAAAAAGGAGAAATGCTTAAGAATTAGATTAGATTAGATTATCATGAAAGATCTTGTTAATACTGTCAGAATTAGGAGAAGTCTGCTATCTCATAAATCTGAAAGCACAAGTGATTTGATAATTAGGGACATTATTTACCATTGCAGAGCTAGAGTTGATGCAAGAGAGATATTCCAGTATGTAGGACTGCACATTTTTAGTTGTCCGCTCTGTTTCTGTGCAGTAATTTGTACCAAAGAGGGTGAGATGATTAGGCAGCACTTCAAATTCTTCTCGTTAGTTAAAATATGAAGCAGATTAACAATGTTATTGCTATAATGGTGTACAAATGAAAATACAATACACTACTACCATTGTCTACTACTGCATGTGAAACGTGGCATACTAGGAATATCTGAAGAGCTAAATTAGCCTGCTGAAGTGCCTTTCTCTGTCATCAGACTTATTTTATCAGTGGGACACTTGACTATCTGAGAAGCACAGGTATGTGGTTTTTTTTCTGTTAGCCAAAAACCCCAGTTCAAACCTTCGGTTGTGTAGCTTTTATAATGTTTTCAAAGGCAAATCTAGTGTTTTTATGTTGGAATACTGACTTCTGCATGTTGATGATGACTGTTGTACACCCTGTCTTTTTTGTATTTTATGTTTGAAAAGAAATTAAAGAAGTATATCTTTAGCAATCAGAACAGTAGTATCTTTTAAAAACCACATACGGAATCCAATTCAACTTAGTAAGCCAGAATGAAGCATCTTGGAATTCACTGGGCTTATGAATCTGAATCTGTGTTTTTTTAACTTCAGAAATGAAATTATTAGGTTTTTAACATACAAACTATGGTGATGATAAAAAGCCACTGTCAGTTGCTAACCCTCATTGGCAGTAGGACGTATTTTGAGTGAGGTGTATTGAGTTTTATTTGTGTTTTAAAACCAGTTTATATCTCATTGTGAGGCCTACCTGGGATTGTTTACATAACCCAAGCTTCTTCATTGATTTGTTTTTTGTTTTTTAAATTTGGTGCAGTTGTACTCGGGCAAAACACGGTGATGGACCTATAGAGTTACAAATGAGTATTCTTTTATAGAATTCTTACTAACTTGTGCCACAGTTCTAACAGAGGGCAGGTACGTTTCTCTTAAAGAACTCATACTAAAAGTGGGTTAAGAGATTTTAATCTCAACTTCATTTTCTTTTAACAGCAGTATTCAGTGTGTTCTGCTTATTAAAAGACAAAAATTACCTAAGGTTGTTTTCAAGACTAGCAGAAGAAATATGTGTTGTAAGTCTTTACTATTAACATTCAGCCTGAAAATTATCTTACAGAATAAGACTGAAAATTGACTGAAACCTTTTTCTGTCAATTTACAATTGCTGAATATTTCTATATTTGCATCTGTCCAAAAAGTGTACTGGTACATTTTTCCTCAGTTTAATTTTTGAGTTCCTTTGAAGCACTTGGTGCACTTCAGTCCATGCTAGAAGAATACTATTTTTACAGCATCTTGCTACTGTGTGTGAAGACACTGTTTAGTGCACAGTTTGTGAACGGAGGCCATAGACCATTGTTGGAGTACCAAATTGTAGGTGAGCTGATGGTTGTGGTCATCACCTTGTGTGTTGGAGCTTTACACACAGCAGGCACTTCATTACCTTCACAGGCATTTTCAGGAATGTTCAAGAACAGATGGGATCTTCATTTACAACATTCCTGATGTTCAGCATTCAGATTTTAAGTATTTTTACATTTTCATTTTTTATCAGAGGTGTCTTCTAATCTCTATTTATTACAGTATCAGTGAATATGTTGCTGAAAATGTAACTAAGACTTGTAAGATGTTAGAGCTTATGCAATATAATAAAATAGTTAAAAGTCATCAGTGCCATAACTTCAGTTTTTATGGTCTTTGAAATCTCACGTTGTCCAGGGACAGACTGGTCTCACTTTTATCTTTGTTAAATAATGCTCTGTTTTTTCTGTATTCTGTAATACATGGAAGAAATATCCTGTATTTCTTCCATGGCCATAATTCCAGCGTTCAACCAATGTTATCCACCTTAAAAGTTTACCAATTCTAATTCAGCCATATTCTGTTCCATTTCTAGTAAAGAAAGCCTTTGATCTTCACAGTGCATCTGATTCCTCTCCGTTTGCTGGCGCAGCTAAAAGTATTACCTGTGTAAATTGATTTTGTTGAATTGGAAGGAAGTACCTGGAGAACAAAAATACTATTTCAGGTTTTGTTCATGCTCATAATCTTTTTTTTTTCTCCATTTTTTTATTTAGGTACTTTCTGTGACTTCGAGAGCAAATAAGATTTCTGCATGTCTGAATGTGCAGATATGCCGAAGCATCGGTTCTACCTACAGATAATCTCAAAATATCCAGGTAGAACAGAATGATTGTATGATATAGTAGAGCTTAAACCAAATTTCAGGGCTTGAAGTAATGATTTTAATTGCATATAGTGCAAGCCTTTTTCTCTTTTTCAGCTTTATAAAAGCCATTTGTCAATTATTTTGTGTTTGTTCAGAAACACTACAAGACTACAGGCTAGCATGCTGCAAAGGTTGTCCTGCCATAGCAGGCATTCTCATGTGCTCTGCAATCTAATGCTCTGAGAAGCTACTATCTTCTAGGAAATAGCTGGTTTTCTTCTTATTCACTCAGAAAACAGTATTTTCAAACTTCCTGACAAGTTGTTTCACTTCATTTAAACCTATTGTGAATTCGCTCGTTGCTTTGAAATGGATGGAGTTTCCTTAGTCTCTACAGGAAAGCAAAGCAATCTCATGAATTTTATTTCCAGTTCAATAGAGGAAAACTCTACGTCAGTCAAATTTCATTTTAATGTAAAGATCAAATATTTGGGTCGTCAGATCTGTGAATGCAAATAATTATACAAAAAATGAGCTGAAGTTCAACTTGATCTGTGTTGTCTTAAAAAAAAAAAAAAAAAAACAAAACCACAAAACTCAAGCTCTCTGGATTAATCATTAAATATCAATTAAAGTCTGTGAGTGGGTGACACTGGTAAGTTTGTTGTGAAGAAATTGCAACAAATTTTGGTTTCTCTTAAAGCTATAAAGATACGTACTGTATACTGCGTCAAGATTTCATTCCTCTATTCAGTATAAATTATCAGTGAACTATAGCAGATCTTAAAGAAAGTACCTGAGACTATAAATAGGTTCTTTTACATCTCCCTTGTATTATTGTACATTGAAAATAGCAGTTGATAAGAAAGACTTTTTTCAGCGGTGATGTTAAAATCCATCTGGCTATTTATTACACTCTGAATAAGAACTTTGTTGTAATTGGTCTTTCAAGAATATCAAAGCTGTACTCATTTTCCATTTCTTGGAGCAATTTACTTGACTGAAGGCTAAAAACTTAAACAGCAGCAATTTCACAAGTATGCAGCTATTTTCTGAAACATCGGCACCAGCCAGGTCAGTTGCTGTATTTATTTGAGATGATCTAATGTAAACACTTATAGCAGCAATCAATTAATTTTTGCGGCTTATACAGTTAATGGCATTGATTATTCATTTATTAATTTGTTGTCTGATCTCCCAGAAATCCTGTATATGGAATATAAAAGCGAAAATACAGCTGTGTTACTTAAAACAAGAAAATTATGAGCTGGTATGCAGAGGAAATCCTTCCAGGAATAAATCTATTTTTGCAGGTTTAAAGTTGAGGTGATGAGGGAGTGCTTGTCTTAGGGGTTTCTGTTGATGACTGGTCTTTCCCACTTGTTTACTCTCTTTTTGTGAAGAATGGCTTGCTACACGGGTGGATGTGAAAATTCAGCACTCTGGGATGTCTTTGAATTGAGGAATTATCACAGATACCTGTTGTTAAAGCAGATGTGTTCCTTGCACTGCCATTGTCAAAGCGACGTAGGCTTCTCAGAGCTTTGTTTATGTCATCTTTTCTAATGGTATGGGACTTGCCAGAAAATGCTGCCTCAGAAGAGCTTAGAGAATTATCGTCATCATGCTTTGAATGCTCACTCAGAGTTGTGCTGTTACAATCAGAATCACCTCCTAGATGGTGGTCAATATAACTGCTTAAAATTAAATCCTTTACAGACACAGACACTCTTTTGTTGTAAAGTGTTTTGATGCTACTTAGAGAACTTTCTGATCACTGTTCAGATGATACTTGCTTGACTAAATATTGATTTCCAGAGACACATGTTTCTAGTTCCACTTCTTTTGCAAGGTTTCTAATGTGTGTATGAGAACCATTTGGGAAACGTTCATGTTTGACTGGCATATCCTTTCAAGTCAGAGCATGGTATACAGCACATTGATCAGTAGGACAATGGCTTTTTGGTGCACTAGCCAACTGTCAATACATTCCCTATGAAACTTAAAAGACAAAGGTCAGTTGTGAGCATATTTCTCAGCTAAGTATGGGCTAATCAATTGTTGGACCATTCAGCAGTAATTCAATTTTGTCCACTGTTCTGGGTGTCAAGAGGAACTTGACTGAGCACGATGGGGGCTGTGCTGCTGATGAATAGAGTGAATACATCCCAAGTTATGGACACTGTTAAGCTGTAAAAATTTGCTGCTGCAAATGAGGTATCTAGATGAGGTGTCTTAAGGCTCTCCAACCGTCTGTAAGAGTAACTTGAGAGTAAGATCACACATGATCATTAAAATGAGGAATCAGTGCTGACTCTGCTAGCTTTTCTTTGAGCTTAATTGCTCTTATGACTGTGTTACGTATCAATGCTTGGTGTAAAGGGTGGTGATTATGGACAGTGATGAAGATCCTGAAAGTGATCAAAACTTGGATTTTCTATTACTGATGTTGTTCATCAGTGGAAAAAGTACTGCTGGATAGGTAAGCTAGGTTGAGTTAGATCTGAAAAGTGTCTATGTTCTAGGGGCGTGCTTAAGAGTGCAAAGGTGATCTTAACAGGTTGCCCAGGTAAATAGGTATTTCCAGTTGAAAAGTCTGAGGTGGTGCAAGTTAACAGATTTTGTGAAGATTTGGTTCTTTGATGTTTGAAACGCTTTTTTTCCCTCTCTTGTGATTACACAGTAGGAATCTTAGTGTTGACCAAGGTGAAAGCTCTTCAAACAGAATCTACACAGAGTACCTAGGGCAAATAAATTAATTTGCTACCTAAAATGTTGGATACAGAATTTGCAGTGTTGTGTGGGGTACAACTAGTCCTAAAACAAAACAAAAATGAGTGCATTAGGAAAAGTAGGAACTAAAGCTGGATGCTTGAGAATGAGAAGTTTGCCTTTGACTGAAATTTTGTAATTGACAGTTGAGTCAGTCTGCTAAACCAGAGCTGTTGTGCAAATCATTTCTGTGCTACTGATCTTGTGGGAATTGAATGTTGTTTCTGCATCAGACACAAAATAAGAATTTTGTTGATTTCATGGCCTCTCTACCATTTGGGTCATTTATTAGAACTAATAGATCTTTTTAGGGGCCTTTCAACATTATTGGGGTTCTCTGATAAATTTTCATTGGTAATCCCCTAAATAAATCTTCCCCAACAGCACATATTTGGTAAATAAGTAGTATGTATGAATATATATAAGCTAGTAACAACTTATGTATAGCCAGTACTGAGAATATGTCACGCACATTGCAGCAGTATTCTGTGTAATTTAAAAGGACGACTCGTTACATGCCTCAGGGAGTGCCTGAAGAAGGTATTGAGGAAGATTGGGCACCTTCCTTCCGTACTCTTTGTTTAACAAGGACTCTGAACAGAATCACCGTATCAGTGTGAACAAGAATGTATTCTTGTATTTATGTAAAACATAAATGTTGAGACATCTTGGAGACAACAGGACCGACACCAGATAACAAACAAATTAACAAGTAATTAACAAATGTAAAACCTTCTGTAAGATTGTGAATGTGGAGTATCCAGCCAGTCGGAAAACAGGGGAGGGGGGAGAAGGCAAGGGGAGAGAAAACAGGGTCTAAAGGCTGTTATGATGTCCATAGGCGCTCCTGCTTGCGGGACACCCGCCATTGCAATCGTGAATAAATTCTGCTTTTATCAGAGATACCATCCTGACAAAAATTACTTGGAGATTTCCAACATCTTACGAACCCTTAAACTTCCGAGAACATCAACTAGTATGCTGTTTTAGCCTGAACAGTTGCATAATGTAAGTTATTGAATTTTTGCAGTAGTTTGTGTGATTTTTCTGAACAAGGTTGACTTGTTGCTTTATTAGAAATATTACAACATGTTCTTATTAAAATGTTTATCCTTTTGTGTATAGTATTTACTATTTCTTCGGATGCTGTTTAAGAGAGTGTTGTGAGAACATTTTTTGTTTGTTATAGTAGATGGTGCAGAAGAAGATGAGCTCTTACTTCCCTTGAAGATGTAATACTTCTTTGGAACAGTTTGCTAGGTTAAAGCTTTCGTATGTTCCTCTTTGATCTGATGGTTCTGAAAGCAGTTCATACCATTTCCATTTCTTATTTCTCTTCTGTGCAAAATAATTGAGATAAATGGAACTCTGTAAGATAAAGTGCCCTTGTGATTTTTTAAAAAACAAAACAAAACAAAAAAGTAGCTGAGAACAGTTGATCGAATTTGTTTCCTAAATGTTTTTGGTGTGGCAAATACAATTAGCCTTCTTAAGTGAAATCTCTTACTTGGACCCTTGCAAAGCCTGGAACAGAAAGCATTTACTTCAGTTTGAATATGAAGATATTCTCACTTTTTTTTCCTAAGACAACTCCCAGGAATGGCAAACCTCAAGAACTGGTATTTCTAGAGATTCTGACACAAAGTGACAGAAAAATTAACCTCTTAAACGTATATTTGTTTATGGTTGTTATGGTAATCTGAACTGATTGATGTTTTTCACTGCTCTGATGCTGCAGAGTGAATATAAAGCTGGTCTAAGGGAACCGGCTTTCTGTAGACCTGTATGTACATGTGTTTTCAGCTCCTTGATTTAATGGGTTATTTGTTTCAGTTGTAGGCCTGGACTCTTAACAGTCTTCTTGTAGGATTTATTTGGATAAAAACTTGTTGACAGACTTCCGTCAGTCTGCATTTGTCTCAGGCGTGCCTCTCAGAGAAGGTAAGCAGTTAGTTGCAAAAACAAGTTAGAAAGGCAGGTTAAGTTAACTAATGTATTCACAACTGCCCATATAAGGGTGTTGTGATGCAAGGCATACCTGCAGAGGATAATTGAGCTTGTATCTCAAGGTGTTACTTCTTTCTTATCTCACTATTTTTTCTGTAGTTACTTAGCAGGGAGCAAAATGAGTACCGTTCAGTGTGTAACACCTGTATGATTCGTTTAAAGAGAAGAGAGGTAATATTGCATAGCTCAGGGTAGGAGATAAAAAGAAAACCTTTCTGATACTTGTCTAAAAAGAAAAACGTGAAAAATAACAAAATCCAGCACACTCCGTACAATGAAGAGGAAAAAGAAATCATGTCTACAGAACAAGGAGTTAGGGTAATAAGCAGTTAATGTTGCACGGTGCAGTAGTGAAAAAGACTTTCATTTAGAAAAGGAAGATTCCAAATACGTATTACAGAATTGTATGGATGTGTATTGTCTACTCTGTAGTTCAGATCAGTCTTAATCTTTATTTAAAAATACCTACTTGTAGCACTTCACCACAATTGGAAATACTCTGCAGTTATTGCAGGGGATTCTGAGGTGCTTATCTAGTTTTGCTTTCTCTGTTGTGGTCAAAAGCTGGTGAGAGTTCAGAAGGAGAGTTCAAATTCTTTCAGAAGGAGCCTCCCTGTCGAGTGGGCACTTTGCTACAGTCGTTTTCATCTTGGTGGTCGGTCCAATTTTTCACACATTTTATGTGAATGTTGTTAGAGAAAAGATGACGAATTTCTGAAATACTTCCACAAGCATGTTAGAAAAATCACAAAGCAATACTGAGCTGTCTCTGCTTTTGTTTTCCTCCTCCTCCTCCTCTCAGAGTTTAGCTTGTAGAATTGCCAAATTTTTAAGAGTGAGGAAGAAACTACAACAGCTGTATTCTTGTGTACTGAAGCTAGCAATATTCGCAGGTCTTGTAAATCTGCAACTAGAAAAGTAGCAAGGCAAAGAACAAGTAATTATTATTGTAATTGTGTAATGAACCTGCAGGAAGTGATGGGATGCGTTTTCTTGAAGAACTGCTGACAAATGGGACAAACGTGCTTTTCATCAGTTCTTTCCCTTGATGTACCACATTTGTGAGAAGGGAGTTTGCTCTGTTTGTGTTCTTGGTGCCATTGCTGCAGTACACCCTCTGCTTCTCTTTCCTCAAGACCCAACTTGGAAGCATCTAGCAAAAATCAATGCAAACATCTAAACTTATTTGCATGTATCTCATTTACAGGAACTCTGTATCTCCAAATGCAGAAGGGACCATGTATGTCAAATAAATATGCTATGTTTCAGCCTGCAGATGATGTAAATTCCTTTTTAAGTACCACAGAAGCTTTTTACACTACGCAGGTTTTAATCTGCAATGCTGTCTGAGGCAAAGAAGAATCTGAGATGTTTTTAAGCCACGAAGCTATCAGTGACAACTTACATTTGAGATACAAAAGAATAAATTAAACGGTGTTAGCATAACTCATGATGCCTGTAATTAAATGTTTTTTTTGCTTCTCATTTAGGAGGCTGATCTTGCAGCCGATTGCTGACATGGCAGTAAAAATTTCAGTGAGATAATGAAGAACTCTCCTTAAAGTGATGGGAAAGCGATGCAGGATAGAAAATAGCTCTGTTAGCAACCACCTTTGGCCTGTTAATCTGGAGCTCCATCTAGGTGTAGTGCTGATGCCACAACAACCTGGTCGCGCTGCAGTCCCGCCGCCATGGGGTCATTGGGACGGTGTCTGTGGATGCTGTTGGTGAGCTGAAATCCAACTTGTTGTCTCCTGAAGCTACTTGCACCTGTACAGACCTTCAGAAAGTTCTGAAACGTTGCTGCGATAGAAACACAGGCTAGTTTCTGACTTACTAAAATGAGTTCAAACCGAAGGGGCCGGTCCCCCTCCTGCCGTCTCTCCCTGCCCGTTTCTCCGCACTATCCGGCCGCTTTGCCCCGCGGCAGCAGGCGGCCGCTGAGGGCTGCAGCGCCACCTGCCGGCAACGCGTCGCCTCTGCAGCGGCCGATCGGCAGCAGGCGGGCGGCGCGCGCAGCTCCGACCGGCGCTAAGGCGGCACGCGGGCGCGCGTCTAACCGTCGTGACGGCCGCTCCGGTTCCTCAGGCAGCGTGTGCTTCTTTCGGCTACGGAGGGATCTGCAGAAAACAGAAGGTCGTCTCCTCATCCTTGTTACTCGCTGCTTCTTTTCTCGAAATGCACCTGTTCCGTTACGTGCTTTCTTTTTTCTTCGGTTTGCTTTTATTTATTTATTTATTTATTTTTCGGCCCTGTGGCCGAGGGGTTTTACCGAGGGGCGTGCAGTTGTGGTTTCAGTGGCGGTTCCTGCTGGCCCTTTTGCCGGTATGGGATGTGTTGGTCCCTGTGTGTGTGTAGGTATGGCTGCAAATTGCAGGAGTTTGTGAGCTTGTTTAACGAGCAGGCTTCAGAAAAGAGACTTACAGTAAATGGTGTGCATCAGCAGCCACGTGGTGCGTAGTTTAAACACACGTTTTTCACAAGCCTTGTAGCTAGCAAATGAGGGATAGTGTTATAATTGCTTATTACGTATCCAATACAACAGACCCTTCCCCTCTGCAGGTATGAGCCAACCCGTTGCATGATGTTTTGTGTGTCATTTTGCTCTTATGAGGTGATGCTTGACTTTTCAACAGTTCCAGAGCCGGTCTGATACTGATTTGCCTTTTGTTTTGTACAAGTGCTTTTGGTCCTCCTCCTCCACTTACAAAATGCAAAATGACACCGTTTCCTCCGTCTTCAATGCAGACCACCTTGTACAGATCCTTGCTAGCATGCCTAGCATCTCAAACAGCGTACCCATAGTGTGACAGTTCTCACACCATGTGGCTGGATCCAGCTGTATGAATAGTCTTTACAAATAACTGTTATGTAATAGGGCACTTTTTCTTATGTTCTTTGAGGAACTGAGTGCCTTTTATTTCATTTTATTGTGTTTTAACAGAGAGAGCTTCTTCTTTTCTGTGAGTACATAAAAGCTCCTGGAAGTTGATTTTGAGAGAATGTATGTGGCATCATTTATCTTCATCTCTAAACTGTTACCATGAAGAGTCCAGACAGCAGTGGGTTATTTCCCCTTTAACATGAAGCTGTTTTGAACACTGCTAGAGCTCAATTCAGATTTTAGTTTGCAAGAGGATAACACAGTTTCAGCTCTCACCTCTTAAGAAGGTCAAATCTGCATTTCTTAAGCATAGGAAGCATCTCATTTTCAGAGTTGAAATTACATGAAGTCATACAGGAAAGGGAACTCCGAGCCTCTCTTTCTGAAAGCCTGTTTCAAGTCAAGATTTATGTGGCCAGACAATAGGAAGGTGATTTAGGTTACTTTTTATTTTGCATGTTTGTAACTGTGCAACTTCCAGCTCGTTTTTTTTTTTTGTTTTTTTTTTTTAATAAACCTTTTGTTCACATTCACTGAACAGACTGTAAGTAAGTGGAAAACGTTTAATCTTACACATGTCTTTTTTCAGATGAGTATCTTAATTGCAAATTCCATGATTGATTCCTTTTCTTCTTCAGGGAGATTTTGTCATTATTCCCATGTACTGGCAGCATTTGGGCATTAGGAATGGAGAATGCCTCCACCGTTCCTCTTCCATTCCACTGGAAGTTACTGTGAAATGCTGCCCTTCTAATTTCTGGAGAAGCCAGGACTTCTATGCCTATCCTGGAGTTAGGTATTCCTTTTCATGAATCTGATCCAAAAGTTATGTCTCCTATTTCATTCTGTTGATCCATGATATTAGAGGTGGATGGTGGTATGGCAGTAGATGTTGAACCTTCCCATCAATATTCTGTTACTCATTGGTGCTGTGTGACAGATGGCAGCAGACGGGTGGGCTGAAATGGAAGTGTGCATGAAACACGAGTTGTCTCATTGAATTCCTCCATGTGGAAAAAACTGACATTCATGGGTGCTTGCTGAATGCTTACAGGGACCAAACAGTGGATGTGAACACAATAAGGAGGTGAGTGATGCATTTCAGCAGTGATATGAAAGACAAGCCATGTTCTAGATGTCCATGTAAGCTGTTACATGACAAAATGAAGAGCGTCTCCATCAGCTCGTCACTGTTTTGTGACTTGTGAGCAGTTTTATCTTTCCCTCGAAACAGAAAAGGGAAACAGAACAGTAAGAGTCTTCTGGGATAGGTATTCTTTAATGAGAACTAGGTGCCTGGAAATATTGACAGTCTGTGGAACTAGAGCTTCAGCTCTTCAACTCCCAATGCACGATGTGATGTTATGATGTGGAACACCAGTAACAAAGATCATAAAACCATTACACAACCTTTCTCTTGAAACATGGTAACACCAGGCCCCATACCAGCATGAAGACCATGGAGTGCACTGCCAATCTTGGCTGGGCTGTCCTACCACACCCAGCTTGTAGACTGCATGTGGTGCCTTCTGACTTCCACCTGTGCAGGCCAAGGAAAGATGGATGTCGTGGCAACTTTTTCCTAGCAACAGTGCTGTCACAGCAGCTGTGAAACAGTGGATCACCTTTGCTGGTACAGGTTGTTCATTGTGGGCAAAAATGCAAAGTTAGTGGTGGTGACTGTGTCAAAAAATAGAATTTTGTATCTGAGCATTTGCTCTATCAACTGATGCTATTGTGCTTTTTGGATCAGTTTCCATGGAAATAAGTAGGAGGCATTACTTTTGGAGTGAGCTACGTGTTTAACTTCATCCTGTTTGATATATACATATCTACATTGTGCTTAAGCCCACGAAGTTCACAAGGTAAATATTTTTTTTTCTCTAGAATTCAATCTGACAGATGCTCCCTGCCTTGCTTGAGAATCGATTATATCTGCTTCCAAGGTGTGTTTTACAATCACTTTATCCCAGGAGTCTTTAAATACTGTGAGCATCATGAAATTTTATTCCAAAGAAGCTCTTTAAAAAAAGAAAAAAGAAGAAAACTTGTCTGAGAGATAGGATCAAAGATTCTGGGAATCAAAGGGAATTATTGAATCTGTGAAAATCTCCAGCAAATCCTGAAAACAGAAAATATTTCCTGTCAAAGATACTGATTTAGAGGTAAAAAAATAATAATTATATTTTAAGGCTTAAAAAGCCAGGTGATCTTGTGGCTCAGTGGTAGACTTGTAGAGATTCTAATTATCCTGGCTCTTCTAAAAACTTCCTGAGTGCTATTGCTCAGCGCCTCAGTTTTCTGATGGTAGTATTTCCTTTCTTCTCTTCCCTGCCTCACCTATTTAGACTGACTCTGTCCCTAAGGAGGGGGACTTGAGTTTTATCACTGTATATTAAATTCTCTCATTAACATTGGCAGTGACGTATTTGTTCAGTTCTGTCATTATGTTCTGATAGTGACTCAGGGTTTGCTTTCCTATATCTGTTTATAATTTTGTGCTCATCCTAATGCAGCACGGGACGCTGCCGATCACCTTTGCTGCAAGGCCCCTTTTTCCCATGTTCTGCCTGTTGTTCACCAGGATGCTCAGAGTCTTTCCCACAGTCAGCATCTGCTGGTGGTTCATGGGATTATTCTTCCTCAGCTGCAGGAGGCTGCATTTCCCTTTGTTGAACTCGACATTCCTGTCTGCCTTTCTGGAGCCAGCAGACGTACAACCAGCTGATCCATCAACCACCCCTCCTGGGTTTTTATCATCTGTAATACTGCTGAGGTTATGTTTTGTCCTGCCTCTTGGGTTATTAATGATGACCTTCATCAATCTCAGCCCCTGTGTCAGGCCCTGGGATTTTCAGTAATAGTTTGATGAATTAGGTGTGGTGTTTGGAATATTTTCTTCTAGTCTGATTTTCTACAAATATATTCCTGTCTTTTAGTTTATGTGTGATGTGAACTGTAATATTTCCAAATCTGAGATCATTATTGCTATTCTGTGGTTAATAGTTTTGCTCCTGAACATGCTCTTGGCATCCTTAGGTTGAAACTTTTTCATTTTTTATGACTTTAATTTTGAATAGTCGATGATCTGTTGTGCTTGTAGATGCTCTTTGCCTCTTGGAGGGAACCAAATTTGAACCTGTAATTCACCAAAAGTGATTAAAATTCTTACATTGAAACAATATTTAATGAAAACTATTAACTTATGCTGAGTTTCTTTGGCATTATACAAATGCATCAGCGAGTTTGAAGGTAGATGAGTTCCAAAGGGTACAGTTCATCCTGTTAGTCACCATGAGGATTTTCATAGTTTACTTGTAAACAGTTCTCAGGAGTCTCAGTTCTTTTATGTGATAAACTGTGTGAAAGCCACAAAGCAGTAAATCCCTGCTCTGCTGAATTTCTATGTTTTATTAAATTATTTCTGTGTATTACGCAGGCAGGTGAGTGTTGAGGAAACCAGTACAGTAATTCACGCATCTGCTGTAAGACTGTCTTCTGTCTCTTCTGGGGCTGTCACCATGGTAGGAACTTGTCTGGAAATTCAAGTGGTTAATTAACACTTCATTGATTCAATTACAGGAACAGGACAATCTGCTCTGTTTCAGAAAATGGTGTTTCAGAAAGACCTGATGATTTGGAGACATTCTTCCCTGACTCATAATTCCATTTGTATTGATTATGCTATAGCAACATACTCATCACAGGGCAATGTGTCTCTTTTTTTGTATTATTGGTACTAGAATATCTTAAAGAAAAAAAAGTGTGGTCTCCCATCAAATGTGCTTCTTTTGCTAGAACCTAAACTGTGAGACTGCAGTGTCGTTGTGTCCACTTTGCCTTGGTGTAGAATATTGATATAGGGATAACTTAGCACCTCTAACGTTGCAAATTAAAGAAATAGCTTTACTATGTCACCTCCTAGCTGCACTGAAGGATATTGTGGTAGGGATAAGGACCTCTAGTCACAGTACAAACTTTTTCAGGTGGCTTGGCTGTATTGTGCAATAGGTTGTGCATTGGTGAGAGCATTTTCCAGAAAGATGCATGGTTCTGTAAATGGTAACCCACTGTGAAAATGTGGAGTCCTTTCTAACAGATCAAAAGTAATAAATCTTTCCCAACAGATGCCTTTTAATATTCTGCAGAACTGAAGATTTATCCGTTTTTTATTTTACATTTATGAATGCGTTTAATGTAAAATAGCATCAAGTAATAATTCAATCTAAGGAATTTCATTCTGAGCTATAAT